AATGGTCAATGATTCGGGCTTCAATTAAAGATAAAGTCTAATACAAGACTTATGCGAAAAATGCCAAGCTGAAAGAAAGGCTGAGGCACGAGAAGTCGGGTTCAGATAAAAAGGCACCGCAAAAGAAATGGGGCCCAAATTAAAAAGCCGTGCAAGAAGAAGCAGCAATGCAATTCAAAGAGGCAAAATGTGTCTCCTTAAACATAACGCTTCAACAAAAGAAGCCAAGTCAGAATGAAGACCGGCCCTTCGGGATATAAATGGTTTATTAAATGGAGTCAATCCATCATAAAAGTTGAAGACGGATATGGCGAGATCCAATCCGGGATAGAAATAAAGATCCAAGATGCAAATTGGAAATAAAATGAAGATGGATATGGGGAGATCCAATCCGGGACAGAAATAAAGATCCGAGATGCAAATCGAAAATAAAATAAAGACGGATATGGCGAGATCCAATGCGGGATAGAAATAAAGATCCGAGATGCAAATCAAAAATAAAATGAAGACGGATATGGCGAGATCCAATCCGGGATAGATGCAAATCCAGGATATAAAATGGAAGACGGATCCAAATTCGGGTTCAAATAAAAGAATAATGCATGCATGCAACATCAAGCCTGGCTCAGGGAAAACGGGAGGACGCTTTCGTAATCCAAACCAAACTAAGATTCAAGAGGGCAGATTGAAGCAAGTCATCATGATGCCTTCGAAATTGAAACTCAGGAAAAAGCCGAGTTGAATATTATGAAACCACGATATACAAATCTGGGTTAAAGTAAAACGAGGGAACAAGTAAATACCTTCGTAAATATGGATCCTTGTGTTTATGATGCATCAACATAAATTTTGAGATACAAGCGCAATTTGTCATGCTGACTCTGATCAAGTCGAAATGCTCCGTACTAAGGTCGAAAGACCCAAGTGGGACATGTGACAATACTGCCTTTATCTTGGATAGTACCGGGTTATAAAACCCAGGTCATGATTGAAGGCGACAATGATCACCTTCATCAATGCTGACTTAACAAAACATTAAGTTAAAACAAACATTTTTTTTTTGATAACAAGTGTTTGTCATTTTAAATGACATAAAGTTATGTCATTTGTAACGCCCGGTCGCTTCAAGAATCAATGACTATCCCCATATACTAACACGAGACTTTTCAGTGTGCTTTTTCCTCACTCGCACACTTCCCGGGAAAACTTCCTAGGAGGTCACTCATCCCATAATTGCTCCTAGACAAGCACACCTAACTGTGGAGTTCTTCCGATCCGGGCTACCGAAAAGCAGATGCATCTTGTTAGTATAGGTAGTACCAATTGATTCTTATAAGCTATTCTCAAACTGTGCAGTCTCATACCTGCACAGTCTTTGGAATTCTTCTCTTTCGGGTGTCGATTCGATTCATTCATGCATGTAACCCCACGCTGGAAGCCTGTCAGGAGCCGCTCCTTGTCCGTGCCCCTTTGCACCGGCGATTACTCCCTGCCCTCGTCAGCGCTCTAGATGTTACATCATTTTAATAGAGAGATTCACACAAGAAATTATTTTTTATTTAAAATTTAAATTAAAAAAATCACTCACTTTCTCTCCCATGATTTTCATTTCTTATCTCTATATCTCTCCTAAAATAATATAACTTATGTCATTTAAAATGACAAACATCAAACTCATTATTTAAACATGGTCCTATCACTTAATTTGTTTTTAGCTTTTTTTTTTTTAAGAAAAAACCCAAGCAAGACCTGATTATCAAACTTGTGCAGGACAACAAATTAGACATGATTAGTTATCAAACTTCAAGACCTAATACGTCAAATGCTTTGACGGGATTAGCCAAAAAAATTAAGTCCATGTTTTTTAATAAATTAATTACGCATTTATTACAGTTTTGGAAATAATTATATATTTATTGTACAATATAACGACCAATTTGGGCGTCACTCAAAACGCCTAAATTGGGCGTCACTCAAGAGGCAATCATACTTAATTTAGGCGTCATTTATCAGATATTAACACGTGTCATATTTTTTTTCCAAAAAAATAATAATTTAATCATAAAACTTCTGAAGGCCGTAACTTTTGACTCGGGTATCCAAATCAGGTAATTCTTTTTTTAATTCCTCATAACTTTTCGAGATCTACGCAATGAGATCTCATTTGACATATTTTATTTCTCACAAACACAATTTAAATTTGCAAGAATAATATTATAAGAAACGTTAAACCCGGAAGCCTCTGAGTTGTGGATTTGTGATTTAATATAAATAAATAAATAAAATTTTGATTTGTGATTTAATTTTTTTTTAATAATATTTTTTTATTATAACAAAAATTTGGTTTGTGATTTAAATTAAAAATTAAAATTAAAATTATTATTAATAAGGAAAAAAAATAAAGATTTGATTTGTGACTTAAACTAAAAAATCATTTTGAAAAATCTGTAGAAATAAAGGAAATAATTAAATAAATATTCTAAATCTCTAAGGAAGAAGAATATTATTTTTGAAATTAATGATTAATGCTATAAGCTTCTAAGTTATTATTTATGGTCTGAAATTAATTATGGCTTATGAATTTTTTTCAAAAATAAAATTACCTAAATTAGGCGTGATTGCCTCTTGATTGAAACCCAATTTAGACGTCATTGGTGACGTGTCAGGTGTTGACACGTGTCACATTTTTAAACTCAGAAGCCTCTGTGTTTTGGGTTTGTGATTTAATATAAAAAATAAATCAAGATTTGATGTGTGATTTAAATTAAAAAATAACAATTATTATTAATAAGGAAAGCAAAATAAAGATTTGATTTGTGATTTAAACTCAAAAATCAATTTGAAAAATCTGTATTAATAAAGGAAATAATTAAATAAATATTCTAAATCTCTAAGGAAGAAGGATTACCTGATTTAAATTTAAATTATGTTTGTGAGAAATAAAATATGTCAAATAAGATGTTATTGTGTCGATCTCGAAAATTTATGTGGAATCAAAAAATGAATTACCCGATTTGGATACCCGAGTAAAAAATTATGGCCTTCAGAAGTTTTATGATTAAATTATATTTTTTTGAAAAAAAAATATGACACATGTCAACACCTGATGAGTGACGCCTAAATTAGGCGTGATTGCCTCTTGAGTGCGAGTTGGCTCCCTCCGGTATCCCCACGAGCTTCGACTCTTTGAGCCGGCTATGGGACTAATCCGGAGTGCTGGGGAACAGTGACCTTACACAAATTTCCGATATTCTTCTTGACTTTCTCCCTAATTTGTTCCCTAATTTCTATCTTAGGAATTTCCTTCATCCAATACCTGACTTTGTTTTTTCTTGAATTTCCTTTATTTGATTTCTCTTAATTCACATCAGGAATTTTTAAAAAATAAAATAATATATACTTGATAAATGGGTGTTCCCATTCCTTGATTCCAATTTAAATTCACAATAATAATAAAAGTGCTCTGTTTCACTTCTATGAGAATAAATGATTGTTTGGATGAGTTTTCAAAAAAAATATTTTTATATTTTATTTATTTTAGAAGTACTTTTTATAAAAGTTAAAGTTATTTAGATTTTTAAAAAATATTTAGTTTTTGAAAAAATATTTGTGTTTTAACTTATGTTATTTTTAGAAGCTAAAATTTTCATTTTAAAAAAAAGATTTTTAACTTTTTTTTATGACTTTTACTCTTTTTAAAAATAGACGTCCAAACATATTTCTCCCATACAAGTTTTTTTTTCCTGAAGTAAAACAACTTTTGAAGAGAGAAAAACCCATCCAAAGAGGCCCTAATAATTTTTTAATGACATGGAAGAAAATGAGAAAAAAAGATTAAAAACAAGATGATGCTAATTTTTTTAATTTTTTATTTCTATTATTTTAGTTCCTTTATTTTTTTTTCTCTTCAGTCAATTGATAAAAGATTTGAAACTTTAAAAACTTTCTTCCCTTTTCTCCCCTCAATCCAAAGATAAGGTTAAATTATAGAGAATCATCCCATTCTTCTAATAAAAACAAAAAGAGAATTATCTCGTATTTTAATTAAAATATATCATTTGATTGGTTATGTTTATAACTTTGGGTTTAAACATTTTTAAATTCACAATTTTCATGAATTACTAATTGTTTTGATTATATTTATAAAAATTATGAATTAAGTTTGGTGATTGGTTATGTTTTGATGATTTTTACTACAATCTAGAATTAATTTATTATGATTACATATTTTTCTATTCTTTTAACTAATAATAAACAAATTTGTTTAACATTAATTTCAATCTAGCATTTTATGAGCCAATCCTAATCATCATGACTCATGAGAGATCTAAATAATAAATTACCCTCTTCGTTAAAAAAATATTCCAAAGCATATGAGTGAAAATAAGCAAGCAGCTGTCAACTCCATTTTCAAAGTAAACGCCATTGCTATATATAATTGACTCAAGGTCAAACTCCTCGCTACCATCTGTACAAAAAAGTATGTCTTGAAATACAAATTGCCAACACTAAATAAGTACACATGCAGCGCGTTATGGGAGGGATAACATACGCTTATGCACTCATGGTTTCAGATTAAAATCTTCCAAAAAAACATATGAGTAGGTCAAGTTTTCACTGAAGTGAAATCATAGCATTCTATTTATCATGCTCCAGCAAGAGCAAAAACATGCAGTGACACACTAATATCATATTCACAGGTTCTGTACAACTAGCTGAGTTTTCTCAGTAATCATTATTTAGAGGAAAAAAATGTAATCCACTTTTGCCAACTGTAGAATGTGTTGGGCAAAGTATACTATAAAACCCCAGCTAAAGCAGCAGAGATAGTGGTTTATGGGGTGTCAACCTGTCAGTAGGTCAAAATGCTTTACAGAGGTTAGCCCTCATGTTATATAAACCTTGTTGATGAATTGGAACTGCCCACAACTTGCTCCTCTTTGGTTCAGATATCCTTACATGTGAAATTGCATTGGCAAGTGCATCAATCCACACACAAACATCATGATATTCTGAATTGCAACTTTCAGATGATGAAGAAAGGCTTGAAACCTCATTAAGGAACCCATCATCCATCCTGTTTCTTCCTAACCTAGGTTCAGGTGCAGCAACAAAGTTGTGGCAAGCAGCTCCATTTTGGTGCTTCAACTTTGATTCAACGGGCAGGATCTTCAATGTACGTTCTGTGTAGAAAGATATCCATGGATGTCCTGAAATTGAACCACATAATATTAATTTAACATGCAAACAATCGAACAGTTCTTAAAACTTAAAAGTACTGTCATTTTATTTCCTGTTTAAAAACATTAGGGAGAAAAAGAGAGCCTCAACCACATAGAAGAACACATAATAAAAACTAACAAAAGTATGTGAGAATTAACAGATTCCCACCACTGTTATCCCAACCAAAACAAGGCAATCCTTCTAATTATTAAGAATTCATGTGAACGGCAAAGATACTTTTCAACAAAACTTGGAAATTTCTAATTTTAATTATTTCAAGATTAAAAAACAAAAAATCAGACCAAATACAACTAGTCTTTGGTGTATTCATCATTGAGGAAGAGAGATAAAGCACGCTACAAAACATTAATAATCTACCATAAACTTACTAAGTACTTCATCAGCTGTTATCCTTGCTGAAATATCCCTTGTCAGCATTCTCCCAACAAGATCTCGTGCAGGTTTAGATATTGATTCCCACATCCCGGTTTGGAACTCTAGCTTGGAATTCTTAATAGCCTCAAAAACTGCTTCTTGTGAATCCCCTTTAAATGGAAGAACACCAACCAACAGAGCATGCAGGAGCACTCCAGCACTCCATATATCCGCCTTTTCTGAGTATCTACCCAACAACACTTCTGGTGCAACATATGCAGGGCTCCCAGCCAAACCCGTCAAGTTCTGACCTGCAATGCAAATTTCTAGACAATGAGGCTATGCATAAATTACTCATGTATGCATGTATGTATCTTTTACTTATGTGTGTGTATTTATATATATGTCAATTGAATTACTGATATTTTTAAATGCTTAAAAATTAAACAAAGTGACCTTAGAGTATGAATGGTTAGCTTCAAACTATTATAAGCATTTTCTCTAGGACCTCTTATTCTTAGACCGCTAGCAAATTTAATTGAATACTGAACATAGTAAACTTAAGGGAGATGACCATTTGAACTCTCCAATTTTTACTCCTATGTACAGGGTAACATTAGTAAAGTACAATTCAGTTGAAAGCTCATCATGATGAACTTCTTCAAACTTGCCTAGACTAGACATTTTTTATTAACAGAATGACTAGGATGGAATTTTACACAAGGAAGGTTGTGTAAGGATTCTATTCATAGAAGTTAGCACATATATATACCATAGGATAACAAAAAAAGAAGATCATCCAAACAGGTTTAACATATTACCCTTAGAAATTCTCATGGCCAGGCCAAAATCAGCAAGCTTTATTTCCCCCGAAGCAGTAAGCAGAATATTCTCAGGCTTGATATCTCTGTGCACAACTCCCATATCATGACAATACTTGATGACCAACATCACTTCCTTAAGTATATTAGCAGCCCGCTGTTCAGAACAAGGGCCCTCCCTAAACATCTGGTCGACAAGTCTTCCCCCAGAGCACAATTCCATCACCAGATGAGAGCAATCAGCTTCCTCATACACTGCCAGCAGAGTCACAACCCCAGGATGCCCAGACAAGTGCTGCATTATCTCCACCTCCCTGTAAACAGTCTCATCCCCCTTCTTCAGAGTCTTACACGCATACTCCGCGCCGCCAACAAGAGACCTACACAACGAAACAGATCCATACTTTCCTTGCCCGATCCTCACCAGGAACCAGCTGAGTCTATCTTAAATAGAAATTAAGACTACCACTCGTCAGATTAGGTTTTGGCCTAAATACGTTAAGTTTATATAAAATATTTTGAACTTGGTTTGACCTATTAATTTGGTGTACTCTACATTATATTTTAACCTTGAATAAAATTCATTAAACCAGTAATGAAAAAGAATTGAAGTGAGTAAACATAAACAGAAAAACCAAAATCATTAAGTGATTTTTAGAATAAATTTCAGCCCAAACTTTATTGAAATCTGAACGACACCGACTCCATTCCTCCTGTTTCTGCTTCAGTCGAGTCAATATTACAGGGAGCGCACGAGTTGGGTTTTTACGCAATATGTCTATAACGTCAAGACCATGGTCACCATATAGACGTTCAATGCACCTTAAATTTTGAACAGTAAAGTAATCTTCAATACGGTTCAGAGTCTCCATATTGATCTTATTTTCATTCATGTTATTATATAATTCCTCTGCACGTTTAGCTGCAGAACTCACAGACTCTAATAACATGTCCAGCTCAAATCTGTCATCTTCACATCTGAACAAGCTCTCTTCGTACTGATTCCTGCACATATGTTCGGAAGAGTAATCCTCACTTCCTGAACTCACAGATACCCAGTGATCATTCAATACTTGAGCACCAAGCTCAGATCTCTGACTAGCTGTAGGAATTGGATAATCAGCAGGTAGAAGCCGGTAGCTGGGAGTGCAACGTTTACAGTCACTGAGGTCAAGTTCTTGAATGGATTTTCCCATGTACTCCTTCTCCCTGTATCTTTCCTTCTCTTTAGCTCCATCCATCTCACGCTTCTGCTCTTTGTCTTTGTCTTTGTCCTCCAACTTTGATGATCTTAGTGACTTTTTACTCATGACACCAGCAAGGAACCCATCAATATTTTCCAAACACTCCAGGAAATCATTGAATTCCACCATAAGATCAAGATGCTTTCCAAGTAAATCGGTTACCAAATTTTGCAATTCATTCCTTTTTATTATTTCACTGACGAAAAAATTATGAAGGCACTTCAAGAAAGCTTGGTAGTCATCAGCACTGTTCAACTTCTCCTTAACTTTCTCAAAGAAACTGAATGCTTGACTATACATGTTCTTTAAGGTATCCTTGTCTTCCTTAGAAGAAAAGTCTGAAGCCAACCCAAAACCTTCAGCTTTCTTGACAGATTTCTTTTTCTCATGAAAGCGCTGCAAGTTCAAATCCCTGCTGTTATTATTTTATATTGACAAAAATCTCACATGAGTCTTTACAATATTATTATTTTTTATTCTATAAATAATGTTCGCCCATCTAAATGTGACAACGCCTAACTCACCAGGTGTTGTAAGCGAGTTAGGTAACGTGACATTATGAACAAAAATTTACAAAATGTGACATTCAGATAATTTTTTACAAAAAATGTGGCACTTTAATCGTTGTCCATCAAAGAATCCTATAACAATTTCCATCTTAAAAACAAATCAAGAATTACAAGCCGTCTGTACTAAATAGGGAATGAAAGAAAGGGGCAAAAAAGTAGAATACATTCTTATATATTAAATTAAAGTTTATTCTCTTAAATGTAATGCCTATAATAGAGTAAACGCATATGATTTACTCTGCATCAGTATCCTTTCTATATATACTGCAAAAGACAACTCTGTGTTTTGTGATATAGTTTCTGAACTGTTAAGAGTTTGTTTCGTGCCAGCTCAGTTTCTGTTAGAAGTTAGATTTGCTGAGCTGGGGGGACACTGTAATCAGTTTAATCTTAAGTCAATAACACAGTTCTCACTCAGAAACTTTCTCTGATCTCTTCTCTCTTTCTCCTCCTCCTCCTCTCTCTCTCTCTCTCTCTCTCTCTCATACTTACATTTACTCAACAAACATAAACACATACTAGAACAGACGAAACGTACAAAGAAAAAAAAAAAAACAGAACAAACTTAAAAAATAAAAATAAAAAATAAAAAAGGAACCTACTCAGTCACAAAATTATATTCTGTTATGTAAATAAGTTTACATTCACTCCAATTCCTTCTTATACTCAAACTAACTAGGTTGATTGAGAAAACTGCATTACACTCAACTAACAGAAAACAACATTTTCGTCCTAAATAATCAGCAATAACTTTGGGGTAATAAGTTATGAGTCAGATTAGTTCTAGCAAACCCAACCCCATGAGCTAGGAAAATGAAAATGTAGAGAGAAAGAATCATCCAATAAAACCGTTAAAAAGGGGAGAAATGGATACCTCAAGAAATTGTTGAGCATTTATATGATCAGGTTCTCTCTCATCCTGATCACGATTAATCCTCATATCCTTACTCTCACGTTTCCTCCGCTTCTTGTGCATGTTCATCATTGTGTTGTCATCATCCATCTCAGGGTGTTCAACACTCAGATCACGCTCACGATCATGAGAAGGAAGCCTCTTTCGTCGATATACTTGCATTTGCCGCATCATGGGTGCCATAGAACTCCGCTCACTAAAGCGCTGCAATGAATTTCGAGCATCCGGAGCATGCTGTGTAGAAGGTGCTGCGAAACTATCTGGTAAGAATCTAGTGAACTCCTCAAGCAAATCTCGATGATCCTTAAACAGGGTAGCAACCTCACTATAAATTTCACCTATGTCCTTATGCTCTTTGCGGTACATATTGGAAATGTTCAAGAACGATTTGTAAACATGCTCATCACTTTGGAATCGTTTCTTTATCTTGTTCACAAAACTAATAGCTTCTTCAAATTCAACCGTTTTCTTTGGAGGAGCCTCATCCCTTACTCTCTTCATCTTTTATCGGTTCTCCAGATTTTCCTAGGAAAATTCGCTGGAAAACAAGTCGAGTAGATCGACAAGAGAAAGAAAAAAAAAGAGTGAAGTGTTTGATCGGACAGAACAACAAGGTAAACAAGAAAAACAACAAATAGGGTTTCTTCTTTCTCTGTCTCTCTCACGTTGTTGCGTTAGAACGATGGAAACTGAGGCGGTGGGAACCAATTAAAAGGCTAGATTTAGAATTTTATATGGGAAAAAAATTTAATTATTGCATTTTAATTAATTAATTATGCAATTTGGATTGTGATTTTTTTTTTGGAGGTTTGGATTGTGATTTGATAGAAGAAAATAAATAAAATTTGTGATATGTGATTTAATTTTTTACAGTTTTGGATTGTGAACCAATCTGCGTGTGTGATTTAATATAAAAAATTAATCAAGATTTGATGTGTGATTATATTTAAATTTTATTTTTATTTTTATTATAAAAAAATTTGGTTTGTTATTTAAATTAAAAGTAACAATTATTATTAATAAGGAAAATAAAATAAAGATTTGATTTGTGATTTAAACTCAAAAATCAATTTGAAAAATCTGTATTAATAAATGAAATAATTCAATAAATATTCTGAATCTCTAAGGAATAAGGATTACCTAATTTAAATTTAAATTATGTTTGTGAGAAATAAAATATATCAAATGAGATGTCATTGCGTAGATCTCGAAAAGTTATGTGGAATCAAAAAACAATTACCTGAATTGGATACCCGAGTCAAAAGTTATGGCCTTCAGAAGTTTTATGATTAAATTATTATTATTTTTTTATAAAAAATGACACGTGTCAACCTTAGGTGAGAGATGCCTAAATGAGGCGTCACATTGTAAAATAGATCCGTAATTATTTCCAAAACTGCCATAAATGCGTAATATTTAATTAAAATGCAATAATTAAATTTTTTTGCCAATTTTATATATCTCAAAGATATGAATTAGTATTATTATATCTCCTTGGAGTGATGGATCAATCAACAAATTAATGACTCTACTAATTTAATTTAATATATTATTTAAAAGTAATATATTTAAAATCAAATTATTTAAAATCAAATTAAATCTAATCATGCCAATTATTAAAAAAAATTTAAAATATATCTTGTTTTTAAAATAAAATAAAATAAAAACATAAATGAAATGATAATTAAAATTCATAAAATTTATACTTAATATATTTTAATTTTATTTATCCTGATATGATAAGCATAGGTTGTGTCAAAATTTCTATATAAATACATAAAATACAAAATTTAAAAGTACACAATACGATAAAGTTTTGTTTCAAAATTTAAAAGTACATAATACAAAATTTAAAAGCACAAATTCTTTTAGTTTTAAAATAATCATTGTTTAAAGATTTGTACAAAAATTAAATAATTCATTAAATTCTTTACGATTTAATGAAAATATAAGTTTATTTGATTATATTACACCTTCACTCTATTAAATCATTCTTATTCCAATAAGTAGAAATAAAAAAATAAAGTAGAGCTAAGAAAATAATATATTTTTTTTTAAAGTGACAAATAATTTAGAATAAATTATAACTTTTTAAATACAATTAGATACATAAAATGTGCCTATCATAGTAGAAAGCAAGTTAAATTCAACACCATATTATTTAAGTGGAAAGTGTTTGTCATTTTAAATGACATAAAGTTATGTCATTTGAAACGCCCGGTCGCTTCAAGAATCAATGACTATCCCCACATACTAACACGAGACTTTTCAGTGTGCTTTTTCCTCACTCGCACACTTCCCGGGAAAACTTCCTAGGAGGTCACTCATCCCATAATTGCTCCTAGTCAAGCACACCTAACTGTGGAGTTCTTCCGATCCGGGCTACCGAAAAGCAGATGCATCTTGTTAGTATAGGTAGTACCAATTGATTCTTATAAGCTATTCTCAAACTGTGCAGTCTCATACCTGCACAGTCTTTGGAATTCTTCTCTTTCGGGTGTCGATTCGATTCATTCATGCATGTAACCCCACGCTGGAAGCCTGTCAGGAGCCGCTCCTTGTCCGTGCCCCTTTGCACCGGCGATTACTCCCTGCCCTCGTCAGCGCTCTAGATGTTACATCATTTTAATAGAGAGATTCACACAAGAAATTATTTTTTATTTAAAATTTAAATTAAAAAAATCACTCACTTTCTCTCCCATGATTTTGATTTCTTATCTCTATATCTCTCCTAAAATAATATAACTTATGTCATTTAAAATGACAAACATCAAACTCATTATTTAAACATGGTCCTATCACTTAATTTGTTTTTAGCTTTTTTTTTTTTAAGAAAAAACCCAAGCAAGACCTGATTATCAAACTTGTGCAGGACAACAAATTAGACATGATTAGTTATCAAACTTCAAGACCTAATACGTCAAATGCTTTGACGGGATTAGCCAAAAAAATTAAGTCCATGTTTTAATTCTTTTTTTAATTCCTCATAACTTTTCGAGATCTACGCAATGAGATCTCATTTGACATATTTTATTTCTCACAAACACATGAGTAGATATGATTGCCTCTTGAGTGCGGGGAGAATTTCTATCTTTATTATGATTACATATTTATTTATTCCTTTTTCATGAATTACTAATTTTTTTTTTTCCTGAACATTATATTTTTTTTAATGACATGGAAATTTTTACATAATTCTTCTTAAAACTAATAATAAACAAATTTTTTAGAATTAATTTCAATCTAGCATATTTATTCTAGAGCGCGGTCTAATCATCGATTTTGAACAAATTTGTTTAACATTAATTTCGAAATTACCCTCTTCGATTTTTAAAAAAATTTTATTCCTAATCATATGACCTTTTCTTTCGGTTTAAATAATAAATTACCCTCTTCGTTAAAAAAATATTCCAAAGCATATGTTTTCAGCATATGATTCACTAGAGGTGTTCGCGGTCTGGATTGGATCGATTTTGGAAGCAAAATTCATCTGATCCAATCCCTTCGTTTTGATCATATAATCATCCCTTCGGTTTTGATTTGTTTTCAAATCCGATCCGATCCGATCCGATCCAATCCAATTTTTTTCGGTTTGGATTGAATTATCTAATGTTTCCTTTTTCCTATTATCTAAATATGTTCCCTACCTATTATCTAGATCACCTTAACAGATAAAGAATCTCAACTTTTATAGCCTTTCAAAATCTATCCCCCGGTAGTTAAGATTCGCCTCTTCTAAACACAAGTAGCTGTACTTTTTTTCCTTTTTTTTCCAGTGAAAATAAGCAAGCAGCTGTCAACTCTATTTTCAAAGTAAACGCCATTGCTATATATAATTGACTCAAGGTCAAACTCCTCGCTACCATCTGTACAAAAAAGTATGTCTTGAAATACAAATTGGCAGCACTAAATAAGTACACATGCAGTGACACACTAATATCTTATGCACTCATGGTTTCAGATTAAAATCTTCCAAAAAAACATATGAGTAGGGTCAAGTTTTCACTGAAGTGAAATCATAGCATTCTATTTATCATGCTCCAGCAAGAGCAAAAACATGCAGTGACACACTAATATCAAATTCCAACAGGTTCTGTACAACTAGCTGAGTTCTAGGTAATCATTATTTAGAGG